CCGCCCCACTTCTTCCCCCTCCTCCTTTTTCTCTCTCTCCCCTCCCAACATTCTCTCACTCACTCGGTTTCCCCCCTCTCTTTCTTTCTCTGCCCTTCTTCCCTCCCAACTATCCTTCGTCCCATTCACTCTCTCTCTCTCAATCTCTCTCTTTCTACCCTTCTTCCTTCCTTCCTTCCATTCTTTCTCCCTTCCTTCCTACCTCCCTTCCTTTCTTACTTTCCAAATTACTATCATTACCCCCACTCTGTCTCTGTCTCCCCCCTTTTCTCTCTCTCCCCCTCTCTAACTCTGTGTCTCTCTCTCTACCTCCTCTTCTCCATTCCTCCCTTCCACCCGCCCTTCCTTCCTATCTAGGGCCCGTCGTCTACCGCCACGACGGGCTTCGCTTACTAGTAAGATTATATAAGAATTAATTTATAACAGCTTAGATTTGGCTTTAAGAATTTCTTTCAAAAATCTTGCAACTGGTCAACTTTTTACCATGTGGGAATTCCACTGAATGCCCAATACATCAGAATAGCAGTTAGTATATATAATCAGGGCACACTTCTAGGTTGGGCAGAGGAAGGGAACACATGGGGCCAGCTCAGTCTTCTCATGAACAGGTTATTTATGACATCTCATGCAAGGTTGATTCGTGATGTCTTTATTTACTGAAATCTTAATTCATGCAACTATGGTTATATCTGTTAATTGATACATTTATTAAAACATTCCTATTCTGACTTTTAGTACAAACGTCCAATGCAGCTAACAAAATCAATTAAACCAAAATGTAAAGTAAAACTATGTCAAAAGACTAGATCAACAAAGCAGTAGAACCCAATCAATTAATGGTTGTAACTATAGAAGACATGGGAAATCTGACTGAATGTCTAGATTTCTTTAATTTTCTTTCAAGAACATCTATGGAGTGGCCTGATTTGGATCTGGTCACTGCAGTAGGCAGGTCTGCTGTCCTTGAAAGGAACTACCACCTGTCCCAGCTAACCACCCTCTGTATGTCAGGTGGTTGAGCAGGACCCAGAAAGTTTTAGTGGTTAGAGTGTTGGACTAGGTTTCAAATCTGCACTCTGCTGTGGAAGCTTGCCGGGTGACCTTCGGTCAGTCACCCACTTTCAGTCTAACCTACCTGACAGAGTTGTTCAGAAGATAAAACAGAGGTGATGAGAATGTTGTAAGCCACTTTGGTCCCATTGGAGAGGAAAGTGACCCATGAATTAAACAGGTGCAAAACTGGTGTTGTGTTCTCTAAGTGGCCTACTCTGGTTAACACTCTGGCAGCTGTGTTCTGAACTAGCTGTAATTTCCAGATACTCTCCAAAGGTAACACCATGTAGTTTCACATCACAGTACTCCTGGATGTCACTGAAGCATGAATTACCGTGGCCAGTAAAGGTGCAGCTGTCTGAAGCCTAATCTGGGTCCGAGTATCACTACTTTTGAATCAGAGAATTTTTTGCAGCAAAGGAATTGAAGTAATACTCAATTTTGATCTGTTGGTGCAGAGCTGATTAAAGAAGTATTATCCTTGGATGAGAAGATACATGATTTGGCCCTTGAACTATATAAACAAAGATCACTTTTGGTTATGGGTCGTGGCTACAATTATGCAACTTGCTTGGAAGGGGCATTGGTATGTTATCCTTTGTTACCATTTCCCTTAACCTATAAACAAGAGAATGATCTATGAAATATAATGGTTCTATACTATTTACTATCTCTACCTTTTCTTGACATCTCTTTGATTCAGTGACTGTTTATTAATGCAATTTATTGCTGTAGGTAAAACTATAATATACAAAGTAGAATACTTCATATGTATTAGCTTTTGTGCATGTATAGCTATATTAATTTTTTATATATTAGTTTTGAGCAGATTTTTTAACCAGGGAAATAATCCCTCTGTAGGCTTTTCACTCCCCCCCCCCATTCACGTACTTTATGGACCATTGTTGATGTGAAGCGTTTATTCCTTAAATTAGGACATTCAGTTTTCATAGAACTCATGGAAAAAGTGCAAGAGCAGTGTTTGATAGCTTGTTTTTTTATTAGGATTTATCATCTTGAGGCATCCTCACATCTGCTTGCTTTATATTTAGCCATATGGATTGTACATACATATGGGCAAGTATCCCATGCCAGAGGGACTTTGGACATATTTACTGGAGAGCTGACCATCTTCTTATAAAGCATAGCAAATTACTTCTGGAGCTGAGGGGAGTTTCAAATGCACTGTTTTTTTAGTCAAATATCCCACTGATAACAAGCAGGCTCTTGAACTTAATGAAAATAGCATTCGGATCTCTCAACCACTATAAGTTATCTATCTGCATGTATTTATTTTGAAAATCTTAAGGAATGATTTCTATGGAATATTTTGAATGTGATTTTTTTCTTATTTGCTTTGTAGAAAATCAAGGAGATTACTCATATGCATTCTGAAGGAATCTTGGCTGGGGAACTGAAGCATGGACCACTGGCTCTTATAGATAAACAAATGCCAGTTATCATGATCATTATGAAAGATCCTTGCTTCACCAAATGCCAGAATGCTCTGCAACAGGTCACTGCTCGCCAGGTAAACTGACTAGAAAGCATGTTATAATTATGGGTACATCATAAGTGCATTCCTGAACATTGTTGTAAAGCTTATAAAATCATAGGCTGCCCTATATGGCAGTCCCCAGCCAGAGAACACATGCACAAACAGGTTTATGTGCACAATTCTCCATGCTGAAAAATCCCATCCAAGAACTCATAATACATGTATTCTCATGCCACTCTGAGAGTTGGTCGTGGGTTTAGTTGAGACTGAAGCAAGGAATATTGAACCCAACCCTTCCCTTCTCCATGAACACATTTTCAGTATTATTGCTGACAGTCTATGATGCTTAATAAGGCATTTATTTTTCTTTCAATATCTATGCCAAGGTTTTTAGTAGGTTAGGGATTTAAAAAAAAAAAGACTTCTCACCATGTTTTAGAGGAAAGCTATTCTCTATGCTAGAAGGCAGTGTTCTGACTCCCCCCCCCAAAATGACCCTGTTTCACATGCAAACACAGGAAATGTCTCCATTGTATCTAAGGTTGTTAACTTCCAGATGAGTCCAGGGTGTCTCCTGGAATTATAACTGATCTCCAGCCTATAGAGGTCAGTTTCCCTGGAGAAAATGGCTGATAACTTTTCCAACCTGGAGTTGGTAACCCTGATTGTATCCTAGGTGCTTTCACACACAAATGCCTGCAATGCAACGGAAAAAAATTCTCATGGAGAGAGGAGTCAGAGCACTGAGAACATCTGGCCATCAGTGTTCTTGCATCCCCCAAGAGTTACAGGGACTCTATAATGGAGCCAAGAAGATCACAAGGCAGAGTCATGAAATGTTACAAGGCATTTAGTTCCAGCCAAGATCCCTTATGGCCTACCTGAGTTGTGCACCCTTGATGTAAGCCAATGGCCATCAAAACTTGTTGTAACAATGTAGTTAGGGTTGCCACCTCTGGGTTGGGAAATACCTGAAGATTTTGGGGTTGGAGCCCAGAGAGGGCAGGATTTGGGGACGGGAGGGACCCCAGCAGGGTACAATGACATAGAGTCCAACCTTCAAATAAGCTATTTTCTCAGCTGAAAAAGCAGATCTCCAGGCCCCACCTGGAGGTTGGCAACCCTATGTGTAGTACCTTTGTCCAGAATGTATTTAATTTCTACCCCACCCTCCCAGCCAAGGCTGACTCTGGACGGCTTACATAAAATCAGCATTTGATTTACAGTAAAACATAAGGTATAAATTAAATTAAAACAATTCTAAAACTATTTAAACCACACAATGTAGTAAAGTGCTAGTGTCGTTAATTTCACAATGGCTGCTGTTACTCAGTTCTCTCTTCTCACAGTCAGCTTCTTGATCTTCTTTTGATTGTCCTTTCAGCAGCTAGTTCAGGCCAATCAATTTTATTGGGTGAACCCCAGTTCTAGTGTTGTGAGAGAATGAAATAATTCCCTACTTCCTCTGCATTATGCATAATTTTATAAATGTGTAGGAACTGTTCAGTTTTTTATCTAAATTTAAGAACCCTATATTCAGGTTTTTCTGCACAGGGAAGGCACTCCAACTCCTTTGAGTATTCTGATTGCCCTTTCAGCAGTCCTTCTTTCGATGCTTCGTGGCTGGATCTAGTGTCCTTCCCTTCATCTTGCAGCCACAGAGACCACAGACTCCAATTAAAGCACTTTGAGCTGCTATTGGTCTTTTGGCCATTTTGAGTGCATAGAAACATACACTCAGCAGCCCACTGCTTCATGTGCATTATCTACAGTAATGGACAATGTATTTCATGTTTTTAAGGTCATTAATGATGGCTTGCTGAAAGTATTGTATATATTTTAGTTCCCCCCCCCCAAAAAAAAACTTCTGTATTTTTCGGGGGGGGGGGGAGAAATAACAAATGGGGAGGGGTCCTGAAAATGTTACATCTGTAGTAAAATATCATTTGTTTATCTCTGAACTCTAACATTGGGCTATAATTATGATAATATAATTTAAACTGCAAAATGTTGAAAGAATTAAGAGTGCAACCTTATGCATTCTATCATATACCCATTGAAGTGGATGGATTTATACTGGAATAACTCTGTGTAGCATTGCATTGCAATTCAATCAAGATATGCCTGTGAAAATAGACCTGCTGCCTGAATTATTTAGATCAACAATTAAGCTCCACTGATATCCTTGCTGCATATTGTATACATTTCTGATATAGCTAATGCAGATAAATAAAATGTTGCTTTGAATTAATATTATTCAATTTTTTGCTTCACAGGGTCGCCCAATTATTTTATGTTCTAAAGAAGATACTGAGAGTTCAAAATTTGCTTACAAGACTATTGAGCTGCCACAAACAGTGGACTGTCTGCAAGGAATTTTGAGTGTTATCCCACTACAGCTGCTTTCATTCCACCTGGCTGTTCTCCGAGGATATGATGTAAGTCTCTTCTAAATTTAGGGACTCCAATTAAAGCACTTACACAAACACATCTGGACAGTTCCCCCATTTGTTCAGGCTGGTAACAAGAACACTTGAATAGCATTTAAACAAATAACTTCATGTGCTTCTTTAAAATGGAAATTATGTGCTCTGTTAAGATGGAACTTCAGTGCAAATGTCCCACGTTACCTTTAAGTTTTGTTGAAATAATTTTGCATAGCTTCCACACAGGCTAAATAATGCAGTTTCAATCCCCTTCAGCAACTATTTTGCAAGTGGATTTTGCCATTTCACACAGTAAAATCCAGTTGCAAAGTTCATCGGAAGTGGATTGAAAGTGCATTATTTAGTATGTGTGAAAGTGCCCTCTAGAATTAAAAGAACATTTCTGAACATGCTTATTCCCATTATACAAAAAGTAAAGACCAGATCACACTAGTGCTGGCAGTAATCACAGAGGATACTAGCCTGCACACTCTATCCTTGGGGTTGCTATAGGCTTGCTGATCATGTAGAGACCTTATGCTATAAACCAGTGCTATGTGCCATTGTGTACACTTGAATAAGTCAGTTTTTACCTATGTAACCCTACTGATATAAAATACATTGGGGACTGGGAGTCTCCCCACTCTGGGAGAAGCTCTGAGGCCAAGACAGCAGGGCTATGACAAAGAGGCGGGACTTGGACATTGTGCCCACCCCTTGGAGATAGACCCTTTAATCACATACTGTGTACATGATTACACCATAGTTTCCATACATCTGGACCTGTTTCCATATATTGTGCCAGCATTTGATGGGCATCTCACCAGCATGGCCACTAGGATGGACTATAGTTGAATTGAATTGAATTGAATTGAAGGGAACAAGTGAAGAAAGCAGAGGCCTTGGGTGAGGCAATAAATAAGGCAGTAGATAGAGCCAGATCTTCCTGTAAGGGGCCAAGAGAAAAAGAAAAGTCAGAGACAATTGGGAATAGATGTGACCACCTACAGCCACATTGCCAGATACATTCCTACCATTTAGTGTCCTACAATAGTTATTTAAGAATGCTTCTTATTTATTCCAGGTGGATTTTCCTAGAAATCTGGCCAAATCTGTTACTGTGGAATAAGCAGTGTATCATAGAATACTTGTCATCAGCAATCCTAATTTATATTTCTGCCAATGAATCTTCAACAGAATGCTTGATTTTGACTCATATCTACAGCGCATACCACTACAAAGTATAATTCCATTGATTTATGTGGACTTTCTGATGGTGGATCTCTTGAGCCAGTATAACGGATAAATTGCTAACTGGAAAGTATCTGGGAAAGTGTCTAACTTTTTAATGTGCCTTTAAATACTTGTTACATGCCTTGCACCTAAGTGGTCTTGCTTATATGTTTATAGCATCCTTTAAATACTAACATTGCCAAAGAAAGGAAGGAAATCATTGTTTACATATGGTTAATGAATGGTCTTTTTACTACTGTGCAATATATGTATAGCTTTCTTCTAAGTCACTGTGAATAAGACAACACTATATGCAGTCTAGTCCTATACATGCTTATGTGGAAGCAAGTCAGTGGGATTTACTCCAAGTTAAGCACATATAGGATTGCTGCTTTTGTTTTAAAGAAAAGTATTTATATACACAACTGTATAGCTTAAATTATTTTTAGTACATTGCTTGCCTATAGTAGTTGTAATGCCCACTTAAATCTGCACATATTGAGATTTTACTATGTATGTACAAATTCTCTTACTTCTATTAGTTCTGTATTTGTATTTTTAACTGGAATTCTACCCTGATTTTTCCTTTTCTCATCTACAACTGAGAATTTTTGCTCTTTAATTCCACAGATCTTCAGTCTACTTTACCTGTCCATGACTATTTCTGTGCTCAAACTTCACTATACATTGCTGAAAATAGTCTTTAGTCAACTTAACTTGACTTACAAATCTTCCATCTACTATACCTGTCCATGACTATTTCTACACTCAAACGGCACTATACAGTGCTGAAAACAGGTTTTAGTCAACTTGACATAAATAAAATGCTATCATCATTTTGAATGTTTATCGTTTATAACCCTCTAAGACTATTCAATATTATGTGAGCTCAATGTGTTTCTATTTAACTGTTGTACAATCAAAATACTATGCAATTAAAGAAAATATTGACTACAAAAGATACTGTGTCTGGATTTTACCTGATTACTTTCTCTTCTAATAAGAAAAGGATATTATCATTATATCTAATACTAAAGTCCTGGCCACTGTGTACATAATGAAAATATGAAACGGGGGCTACCCACAGACAGGGAAGAGGTTTCTATATACTTAGGGGAATTTCTCAGATATACAGAAAAACAACCTTGTAATTAACCAAAAGAAAAATTGATCCTCCCAACAGCCTGATGAGAAATGAATATGCTTCAGCAATGACATAATTATTTTAAAACATTTACACCTCACCCTTCCAAATAATGCTCAGAAGAGTCATAAGGTCACAAGCTAACTGCAAGCTAAAACTGTTGTAGGAAAAGAATATATCCTTGGTGGGCTGGATGTGTACAGCAGGAGACCAATCCAGTGGGCAAAAGACAAAAGCTTGCACTCTTCCTTGAGTTCCTGCAGAGTTCACCTACCAAACAAAGGTGAGCTCACACCACTAGCCAATCCCTGTATGGGCCACCAGTTGCTGCAGGACTATGAAGCCCAGGACTATTCCTGGGACCGCCAGTTCTCCTGAGTTCTTTTATTGGTTGGGTGGAGACTAGCAAGGGGCTGAATAGAATATTATTTATTTATTTATTTATTTATTGGATTTATATCCCGCTCTCCCCGCGAACGGGCTCAGGGCGGCTCACAATTGACGGCACCATGTGCCAAAATTGGCATAAAACATTTAAAAACAAGATAAAACAGTAGTACCTTAAATACAATTAAATGCAATAAAGCGCTCACAATGATGGTCATTCTTCAGTCAATTTGGGGTGGTGTGCAATAAGATGTGATACTAGGGTCCCGATTTAGCAGTACTTCGCCCTCCCACGACACTCTGGCTTGATCTCATGAAGAGCCAACCTATTACCACGATGTTGATGACAGTTACAGTTTTAGACAGAATATAGACCGAATACAGAGACAACAGTTCTAAAACAAAACTATTTTATTCCAGTATAAGATTTTAAGACAGAAAGCACTTAATCAATTATAAATCTTTTAAGACAGAATACATAACATTTCAATATTCAGCATACAATAATTTCATAATATCCCAATACTTTATGTGCTTGTATGAAACTCAGAATGCTCTGGACTGGTCACCAAGGTTGATGGTTAGCCCAGAGGAGACAAATCTAATAATTTATAACCTCTAGACCCATAGGTTCAATCAAAATGGCTGATGTAAGGCTAATGCAATTTTAACAAAAGAATAATACAATTTCACCCTGAACTCATACCATAAATAGGAAAGGATGTTACGTGACAAACAAAGAGTTCAGACTGGCAGTTTCACCTGATATAGGCACGTTTCACAAATGGATTAAAGGGGCCGGTTCCCACAGCCACAGCTGTCAGGCGTTCCCCAGCCGTACTCAACCCGTCCTACGACGATTCCCTACCGTGTTAAAAAAAGTACCAGGTGAAAGCTGTAGCAAACCCTGGAGCGTGCACTGATTCTGCTTCCCAGAAGTGTGCACGCTAAAAGCCGCAAACAAGCTGCGGTGCCGCACCTATGCGCATATCGCTGGAGTGAAAAAAGGCCACTTACAGCTGCGCCTCCGCCAGGGGCAGACCAACACTGCGAATGCTCCCTTGTGCCTCCTCCCCGGTATGCTTCTGCATCAGTAGGTGCAGTGCGACTGGGAATCCCTGGCACAACTTGGTCTGGGTCTTTAAGCCCAGCCTCCCTTGCGCTTCATACTGCCAGTTTGTCCTCAGCCATAGATAATATATCAAGGTTCATTCTAAGAATCTAGGTGCCTTCTGCAGATAAATTAATTGTTTTGACTCAATTTTGACCACATGGGAAGTACAGCGTATAACTGTGACCCCTGTTTTAGCAAGCAGGCAAGCCTTCCCATCAAGGAAGTATTGTAGAGACTCATAGATGCCACAGAAGGAAATGATAACCCTAGAAAAATATAAACTATTATTTTATACATAGGAAGGCCAAGGGCACAAAGAAAGTGGTCAACGCTAGCTTACAAGATTTTCACATTGACTATACTGCAAAGCTCTATTAGCATTAATTCAAGCAAAAGGTATTTAGACAGAAACTCAGGCCTATAGTTATTAATTCCACTGCAAAACCTCATCCCTTGACCTTAACTAAGATATGACCAGAAAAAACAACCCAGAATCAGTTTCTATAACAGAAAATACAAACAAACACTGTGATATGCTGGCTAATACATTTAGTAAAACATTTTACAATCAATATATACATCTTATGTCACATTATAAGGTAAAGGTAAAGGTTCCCTTGCTCGAAAGCCAGTCGAATCCGACTCTAGGGTTCAAGTGCACATCTCCGTTTCAAAGCTGAAGAGCCAGCGCTGTCCGAAGACGTTCCCATGGTCATGTAGCCGGCATGACTAAACACCAAGGCGCACGGAACGCTGTTACCTTCCCACTGAAGTGGTACCTATTTATCTACTTGCAATTTCTTGCTTTCGAACTGCTAGGTTGGCAGGATCTGGAAGTAGAGATGGGAGCTCACTCCGTCATGCAGCAACCCGGGTCTTGAACTGCTGAACTACCAACCTTCCACAGCCTGCAGTTCAGCATCTTAACCACTTGAGCCACCGCAGCTCCCCATGTCACATTATAGAGAAGCACATATTGAGTAAGAGTCTGACCCACAAATCAAGATAGTCAACAAGACTTACAAGGGAAAATATTTTCTATATATTGTTGGCAATAAACACTACATAACAATGAACAAATTCCATCAAATAAAAAAAAATCCTTGTATAAGAATACGTCGTCATCGTCTCTGGATTTTATAACATTTAAAAAAACAGATCTTCCTGAGGAAATATTCTATATAGTAGTACAAGAGCTTTCATGCTCATAAACTGCTATCACAAAACCAGGAATAATGCATTTAGTAGCAGGATGCTGATCTCAAAACGCCTAAGATCCATCAGAAACTGAGTAGCATGTTTGCAGCCTGAATAGTTTTGAAATCAGCGTCCTACTAAATGCATTATATTATTCTCAGTATTTGCATTATATATGCAAATACTGAGAATAATATGTGTTATATTTTCTATTTGTTTCTAGACAAGGTCGTGACTGTCCACATTTGTCTTGTAACATTATAGAGAAGTACATCCTTCTAATATTACCAAAAGAAGTCCATCGTCATGATGTTACTCTGAGCACCCTGATGTAAGCTCGTTTCATCAAAATCTTCCTCAGGAGTATTCCTATGTCTTCAAAGTTATCAGCCTCTTGTTACAATTCAGTGTTTATTTTGGGAGCAAGCCAGTCCTGAACCTCTTCTCTAATCAGATGCAAAAGCCTTCTGAATTTGGCTAACAAAATGCTCTCTTCAGGAGTATTTTACTTTCTTCAGAATTCTTATCCTGAAATAAAACATGGTTATTGAAATGAGAAACAACACAAAGATGAATGGAATGGAATAATTTTTAACATTTATTAAATATTATTAGGAACTTACCTCTTAATGCCACTTAAGTGTTTATATAGGAGCAAGGCAGTCCTGAACCTCTTCTCTAAACAGATGCAAAAGCCTTCTGAATTTTGCTAGCAAAATGCTATAGAAAAAGCTCGAAACGAACTCTACTTAAAGAAAACTATTCTAAGTAATTCCATTCAACTGCATATTGGATATCTGTTTCTTAAAGGTATAAAACACAATATAACACTGATCAAAGGTGTTGTGGGCTGAAACCATGTATAATACAGAGTTCACATTCTTTTAAATCCACTGAAGTTAATGGACTTAGAAAGGTAAAACTCTGCTCAGCTGTGGAACTTTTTTATTGTGAAAGCTTCCAAAAGTTCAATAGAGGCTTAATTACTGTTATATTTATATTCAACCTTTATTTTTCAAAAGAAAAAGACAAAAGTGGCTGACAGATATTAAGTAAATCTTATAAATCCAGGTAAATAGAAGGGCCCGCCATCGTCTGCTAGGTTAAGCTTGCAGGAGCAGGGGACAGCCTCGAAGGACACATTAAATAAATCAAAGAGAATGGTATTTCAGACACACACAAAACTAAACATAACGCGAAAGAACATGACCTTTGTAAAATATTTATAAAACGTTGCATGAGAATACAAGGTATGATATTTTGCAAAGCTCATCAATTTTTTCAATCTCCGTTCAGAAGATACATCGAAACGATACTTGTCATTCCAGAGAACATCATTAACTGACTTACCAACAGTTCTACTTATTTATTAATCACACTTATATGGTTATAGACTTAACTTATTTTTGTGTATTTCACTTTGTTAATACAATACTAGCAATGTTCTTTCGTATCATGTTTACCGTTTTTTGCGTGTCTTTTTGATTGATTTCCATAACTGTAACCCATTATATATGCACTTGTTTTGAACTACTACAGGAGTCTTTGAATCTAAATGGCTATTGAAAGCCATTAAAACACAGGTGAATGGTTACTTGGAAGGTGATCTTTAGGGACTTCCCTCCAGCTTGCAGACCAAAAAGCCCCTTATAATTGCTGGCAAATTTTATTTATTTTTATTTATATTATCTATAGTTTTTCTTTGTCATTAGGACTCACAGCAGATTGCACAGAGTGAGCCAATACAATCAACAGGTTGGGACATCCAGGAGGATGCAGTATAATAGGATTAGGATTGTAGAAATCTGAAGCCAACTAGAAATGTAAAGAACAGAACTGAAGCAAAACCTAAGTATTAACATGACACATTAAATGTTGCAAAAATGACATAGTAGGGTCCTACTTACCTTGACCCAGATGGCCGAGGCTAGCCCAAACTTATCAGAACTCGGAAGCTAAACCACTTTTGAATGCCTGTTCCCTAAAACCTAGAGGATTGCCATAAACTGGCTGCAATTTAAGCATGCTTGCTCCCACCCAAAATTTTCAGCAAGTTACATAGTAGTATAGACCACAGTCCCTAATTATTTAGCTGAGTAAACTTTTGTAAAACATTTTGTACAGTCCAACTCTATTACCTTACCTGGATAGAAAAGCCCTCTTGAATAATTCAGTTTTGCATAATTTGCAGAAAGTCAGGAGTGTGGGAGTCTTCCTGATCTCAGGCATGCCATTTCTATAATGGGGGGGAGGGGGGAGGGGAGAGACTTCTACTTCTTGGGAAGGAAGCGTTTGTGGAAGGAAAAAAACGAATCTGGATATGGCCATGTTCTGTGAACTGAAATTCAGATACCACCCCAATTGGTCTCCTATGAAACGCTCCTGTTTTTCAGGGCTTATCCATACAACCAGGGAAGCATGAAAATAACGAGTGGCTTGGAATATGAGCACCTAATCTTTCTGCTATCCTCTTTATACTTTATACAGATCACACCAAAACACACATCACTGAAAACATCAGGACGGAAGAAGGAAATTTATGTCCTACACTGTTTGGTACTTCCAGTATTCTTGTAGGGATGTACTAAAAGGAAGGACAGGATTGCCCATTGGAAACAAAGGGAAACACCTGAAGACCCATTGGAAATAATGGAAGCAAGGAATGCCAATTGACTTGCATGGGCTCCATTGAAATACATTACAGTACAAGTAGAGTTGCAATAAATGCGGAATGGGTTTTCCATTAGGGTCTCTGGGCCCAAACAGACTACTCTGGGACTGGAATGACAGGCCCCACCTTGGAATGACAGCCCCTAGGACATTCTTGTATCTTCTACAACTACCTCAGAAAAATATCTGCTCTAGTGACATGTATATAGTATCTCTGTTAGGTTTAGAAAAAGTATTGTAAAAGCTTTCTACAACAAAAAAGAATATAGGTCCCGGTCACACGGCAAAGTTGCCGCAGGAGAGGCACGGAAGGTGGGCGGATTATCCGGGCGCAATCACATCCCAACATCTGGGAAGTGGAGCGCACCCATGGCTTACCACCGACAATGCACCTTAAAAAACTAGTACCAAGGTACTAGTAAACGTTTGCCACGAGCTGCCTCCAGACGCCATGTCGGCGCGCGGTATTCCTCTCCGGTCCCTCATTTACCCGCTGGCGCCGAGGGAAGGACCCGTGGTGTGCCGCCAGCGCGTCTGATCGCGTAATCGCGAATCAAACTGCGCCGGGGCAATTAGCCACACCTCCCCCCCATATCCAGCCCGTGTGACCAGGGCCATAGTCTGCCATTTGGAGCCAGACCCTAGAGATCACTTTGCAAGTAACCATTCATCTTTACTTTAAGGAATACACACACCTATAAATACACTTCCACTGATGACTTTAGCATTTGAGTTACACGGCGCCCGTGACTTTTCTCTCGATGTTTTGGTGTCTGTCTAAGCCATACCATACCATAGACTCTGTGGTATTCTCTCTGCCTGTAAAGCAGCATCTAATCGTGACTAGAGTACCTCATTCGTGCTAAACGTCACTACAGTTCGCGTCGAGAGGTGAGGGTGCAAGAGACGAAACATCATAACACTGCGAACCTCTGACGTCAAAAATGATGCCACTTTTTGGCAAGACTTACTGGATGGCGGTTTATGAAGCCATCTTCATATTATGTGACATGTTTGAACTTCACCGCGTTCTCCCTCGCAGGCAGGTAACGTTTTCCTCCAACGTCCCCCCTTCCCGTCCCTCCCCGTCACAGAAAAAGGGCTGTGGGAAACGTCCCCCTACCTCATACAGTGGCTTTTAGGACCCGCCTCCGAAGGCCGGTTGGCCAAACCCTGGGAAATCGAAGCGCTGGTTGGTTGCCGCGCATGCTCGTCAGCATAGTCGGGCCTGGTGCGGCCTGTGAGCGGCTGAAGGAGGCCATTGCAGCTGGAGCGTCTCCGGCTGAGCTCGATAAGGAGTCGGAGCCGCAGAGTCACTCGCCTGAGGGCCCGGGGAAAGGTGAGCCGGGTGCTAGTGCTGGCGCGTAGCTGGTGAACCAGCAGCGGGTGCGGTCGAGGGTACCGTACGGGGCCATAAATGTGCGGGAAGGAGGAGGAGGAGGAAAGAGGTGGTGGTCGATGACGGCCACGGGCGGCTGCGTGGTGGAGGCTTCAGGTACCCTCCCCCACCCACAGCTGAGGCTAGAAACTTTCTCTGCAAGGCTGTCAGGCTCCCGGGCCGGGAGCATATAGCTGTGGCTCAGGGCGAAGGCTGCTTCCCGCCCTCCTTTTCGCTATTTCCTCTCAGCTGGACGGAGCCCTCTTTAGCGCTGGAGGGGAGAGGTCGTGGCTCGATGGCACGGCCCCCCCATATCCAGCCCGAGAGCCCCTGGTACCTTTCAGATAGCAGGGCTTAAAATGTCTCTCCATGAAAACTTGCGGAGCTGCTGCAATTCAGAGCAGGCCAGTACCGGCCTCGATGCACCAGTAAAAGGCAGTATAGTCCGTAGAGGTCCGTCTCCCTTTTACCTTGTCCTTCGGTGTTGCTGTCTGTCCCAAGCGCTCTTTCCTTTTACAATTCATGAAGAGGAAAAGAGGCTGGGGGGTGTAGTTTATTCATGGGGTGCTGGTTTTCGACCAGCCACTTCGTGCCGAGTTGGCCAGGGATCTAACTGTGTTAACTCTCAAAATCTCATTCATAGACTAGGGAGAATACTACTGTAGGAAAGGTGGACACATACTATCATTCTGATTTGTTCTCCTTTCATCTATCAGAGCGGCATCTCAGGGCAAGCTGGTATATATGAAAAATTATTTCATTGACAGAACAGTGAGGGAGATCAACGGCACAATCCTAAACAGTTGCATCCTTCAGGCCTATTGACTTCAGTGGATTTAGAAGTGTGTAACTGTTTAGGATTGCACTGTCAGCCTCCAGTCATTTGTTTACTTTATTTATGCTATTTATAGTCTGCCATTCTCACTTAAACTCAAGGTGGATTACATACTGTAAGTCAATATAATCAACAGGGTAGGACATCCAGTAAGCAATGTAATAAGATTGGGATCGTGGAAATGTGAAGCCCAAGCAGAAATCTAAAACAAAGCATAAGTGACATATTAAACAATGCAGAGATTTCATAGGCCCCGGTCACACAGGCCGGAAAATGCGGGGGGGAGGGGAAGCGTGGCTGTTTGCCCCGGAGCAAACTAACGTGTGGCCGCCGGATCACACGTCCCGCCAACGTCCCGTGGTTCGGGGGGAGGTGCCGATCACACAACAATCCTGCGGCGCGGCGAAGAAGCGGTACGGCGCGATCACAGCAGCAATGGCTAGGCGCCACTGCCGTGGCAAATGGTTGTTGTTTTTTAACTGAAGTGTGCGCATGCGCCGCTGGGTGCTTGTGCGCATCCCGTGGAAACTTGGAAAAAAACCCTTTTTGCGACGGGACATGGGCGGGCGCCGGATGCCACAAACTACCACCGGAAATGCAATCAGACGCCCGCCCTTGCCCTGCGGTTTCCGGAAACTAGTACCTCGGAGGTACTAGTTTTTTACGCGCATCTTCGGCGGGAAGCCTCAGGATAGCCATGGGAGCTCTACGCTTTCCAGATGTTGCGGTGTGATCGCGCCTGGAAAATCCGCTTATCTTCCGTCTCTGTAGCGTGGCTAATGCTCCATGTGACTGCAGCCATAGTAGGATAATACATACAGCAACAGATAGTATATATTATACACAGTCCTCTTCCCCTTTATTAAAGCATCTTCCTGAACCATTCTGTTAATAGGTAATAGGGCTATATTATATTGCCATTGTAAAATTGCCCTGAATAATTCCATTTTGCATAGTTGCAGAATGCCAGGAGAATAAGAGCCTTCCTGACCTTATCAGGCAGACCATAAGGCTGCTTTATAGGGTGGCACCTACTGAAGGCTGTAATAAGAAAAGTGAAGTAGCTGAGTCAAGGTAGGAGGCCATCTTCTGAGTTAAACTAGTTTGGAAGAAAGCTTTTATTTGCAGTTGCATTAACTTGCATTAACTAGATCTTAAGCTCTGAACTGAATCTCCAAGTGTCAGCTGAATCCCATTAAAACTGGAAAGCACCAATGCCATTCAAGGTTTTTTCCTTTTCGACCAGCATTACCTCTGTATTGTCAGAATTTAGTTTCAGTATGTTTACTTGTAGCCATTTAACCCCAGCAGACAGGCAACAGGTCAGGACCTCTACTGCATCACCAAGATATTTGGATAAGGAGATGCAGAGCAGGGTGTCATCAGTGTATTAGTGACAGCCAGCTCTCAAGTGAAGAATGCCTTCTCCTTAGGGCTTTACATAGAGGTTGAACAGCATGAGGAATAGAGTTGTGCTGCCTATGGAACTCCATTGATGACTGCTAGTCTGCAGTGGCAACCCTTTGAATTCAGTCTGTGAGGAATAGTAAGAACCACTGCAGTGTTCCCTCTAAGCTGAGTTAGTGTGAGCTAGCTCACAGTTTTTTAGCCTCCAGCTCACAGAGTTTTGTCTTAGCTCAGGAAGGAGGGCTCCACAGTAAACTAATATATGCAGTAGCCAAATTGCTCGCTCACAACTTTAATGCCAGCAGCTCACAAAGTAGAATTTTTGCTCACAAGACTCCACAACTTAGAGGGAACATTGGTCCAGAGCACATCCTGTGATACCTACTTTTGCCTCACATGCCTCAACAAGATGGTATGGTCTACTATATCAAAGGCTGCAGATACGTTCACTAGAAGCAACAAAGAGATGTGGCCTTTACCAGGTTTCAGACAGAGATCATCAACCAAACCCACCAGGGCTGTGTCTATCCCATAGCCTGGCCTGAAGCCAGAGTGAAAATGGCACTTAGGATTTCTTTCGACATTTCCTTCAGATCGGCCATAATTGTATTATTCTTTAATTATCACTAGGAGGGGTAATGATTATTTATGGTTATTAGTGATCATGGATGTTAATGGCTTTGAGATCACGTAATATGTTTCTCTGTGTGAGGATGGCTGTGTTTTAGGATTAGTGTGGTACAGGGCTCTAGTCGGGGGGGAGCTCTCAGGTACGGAGCTCCGGAAGAGAACCTCTAGGGGGCGGGGCGGTCACGTGGTGAAGCCCCGCCCCCTTCTTTACCCCGCCCTCTGCTTCGATCCTCATTCCGTTTGGGAATGAGGATGAAGCAGGAGGGTAAGTAGCCGGGCCTTCTGACACACTTCCGGTGATGTCAGGGGGTGTGGCCTTCTGTCACTTCCGGTGATGTCAGGGGGCGTGGCATATGCAAATAAGTTATGCTAATGAGTTATGCTAATGAGCTCCGGCAGCTCTTTTTCTACAACAAGACCCCTGGTGTGGTATAAAATGTCTGTCACATCGGATGGCTGTGTTTTAGGATTAGTGTGGTATAAAATGTCTGTCACATTGTGGAGCATGAACTGGTTGAGTTTTGTGATACTGTCCTTGTACATAGAAATTACCTTTTAAGAAAGATCAGTTATTTATTTACATATATTCAAACTGGGGTGTAAACAAAACAGCAAAAAGCTGCAGGGCTCAAAAACATCATGCCATAAGTGTCCAGAAAAGCAATCCACAATGAAAAACTACACAATTAAAATGGGTAATTAAAAGCAATATTTTTCAAAATAGTCTACCTTCAGTCACATACAATCTGGAATAAAACTTTCCTGAACGCAGCAAACAAATGTGGCCTCCATGCCCACACTGTTCCGCTCTTCAAGAGGAATGGACCTACCTCAGAGAAAGCCCGTGATCTGACTGTTGTCTTATGTACCATGATCTGACTGTTGTCATATGTACAGTACTAGTGAAGGGTACCACCAGGAGAAGACTGTCTGAGTAGTGTAACTGGTGCATGAGAGTGTATCAAGAGATGCCGTTTGGTTGTTATATAATTTTCTGTTCCATTCTACCAAAGCAAAATTGAAATAATTAAGAATACTAGCTAAACGTGTAGGTGGCTGTTGGTACAATTTATTTTGGTAGTAAGGAAGGTGTAAATTTGAAAGATTTTGGGAGTATTTTTGTTGTGGAGTGTGTTTCACTTCCAGCACTTTTATTACTGCTGACATTTGTATAGCAGTTTTAGAATTTGAAAAGTGCATTAAAATCCTTAATGTTTTCACATTCATTGTTGAGGCTGTTGAAAAGAGTAAGAATTCAGTAGCAGCTTAAAGACTATAAAATGTGTGACAGGGTATGAGCTTTCGTGAGTCACTGCTCACTTCTTCAGATTGTTGAGGCTGGTAGCAATAGTGCTAGGCTATGTGATGTTCCAGACTAGCCAGTAAATTCATGGCTGAAGGTAGACACCCAAATCCAATGTGCTTTCCATTGGATAAAACCATGTATTGTCTAAACAGCTGTGATACATTCTAGAGCTGTATTTCTACATTTTAAAAGGAGAGATCTCACTGAGAATGTGGGACAAGCAGCCCAGACCTATACAGAAGTAAGTGTGGTGGGATTTACTCTCAGTCTTATGTGGAATTGTAGCCCTAGAGCTACTTTATAAGTTATGATTTTGCTACCTGGAAAGAACTTATGTAAGGTATAAAATAAAATCTGGGTGTAGTTTGTCAATTGTGATAACACTGCATGTCTGTGTTATGGTATAAATATGCATGGGAACCAGTGTTCCCTCTAAGCTGAGTTAGTGTGAGCTAACTCACAGTTTCTTAGCCTCCAGCTCACACATTTTTGTCGTAGCTCAGGAAGGATAGCTCTGGAGCAAACTAATTTATGCAGTAGCCAGATTGCTCGCTCACAACTTTCATGCCAGTAGCTCACAAAGTAGAATTTTTGCTCACAAGACTCCATAACTTAGAGGGAGCATTGATGAATACCATTGTCTGTTGCTTCCCAATATATGTATACTTCTCAGAATACATTATGGGGAAGCACTGAAAGTGATGATTTATACATGGGTTACATGAGGGGTGGAGCTGCGGTGGCTCAAGTGGTTAAGACGCTGAACTGCAGGCTGTGGAAGGT